ACTATGCTGCTATAAAACAGAAGGAATTCTTACCATTTGCAACAGCATGGATGGATCTGGAGAGCATTATGCTAAGTGAAATAAGCTAGTTGGTGAAAGATAAATACCACATGACCTCACTCACTTATGTTTAACAAAGAACATTACAAACTGTTGAACAAAAATAGAGGCAAAGAAGCATCAAACAGACTGTCAAACTACAGGAAGGTAGGGGAAGAGTTGTGGGGGAGGGTAAGAGATCAACCAAAGGACTTATATGCATGCATATAAGCAAAACCAACAGATGCAAGACACTGGGGGCAGGGGGATGAGGGCAAGTGCCAGGGGTAGGGGAGGCAGGGGGGGAGGTCATTGGGGGTGGGGTGGGGAAAGAGACATATGTACTACTATTTGTAATACCTTAAACAATAAAGTCTTTAAAAAAGAATTCAAAAATAAATAAATAAATAAATAAATAAATAAAAGGAAGGCAGTTGCTACTCAATGGATTATTGCCAGAAAATACAGCTCCTTGTTGGCAGAATGTTCATTTGTATGTTCATTTGCAAGTAACTACAACAACTGACAAACTGACCTACCATGTTTCCCCGAAAATAAGACATCCTCTGAAAATAAGACCTAGCGCATGGAAAGATAAGACATCCCCTGAAAATAAGACCTAGAGCAACTTTGGGAGAAAAAAATTAATATAAGACACTGTCTTATTTTCGGGGAAACAGGGTAACAGTGAAGCTTATGCAAAAAGTACAGGGCAACTTAAGCTTTAAGGTTGGTTTGATTCAGTAGAACTCAGCTGCTGGGAATATTCTTGCTCTCAGCCTCAGGAAACCACCTCCCCCAAGGTTCACCACCCCCCCCCCCTCCCAGAGTAAAGCAGGAATTCAGTAACGGGCTAACATGAAAATACGAATGCCTGGCCCCCTTATTTCAATTTGGGACAACTCTGAAGAGCATGCCCATTCTTTAAGGTTCTTGTGGGATCAGCTGAGGCCTTGATTATAACTATTAAATTGGAACTGTTGTTGGTGGTCAGCTTCTTCCATGTTGTCATAGGTGGATGACCTGAGAGCATTCCCCAATAAACTGCATGCAACTCTCCATCACAGACTCTGTTTCCTAGAGCCAAGAGTGAGGGTGTGGGGGTAATCAGACTTTCCCATAGGCTGAGTCAGGGAGGATGGGGGGTGGTACAAAACTTTTTATGAGTAAGCATCATATTGGAGAGCCAACTATAAGTGGATCTTTTGATCTTTCAAGAGAAGCCAGAAACCGTTTATGTAAAAAGTCTCATAATGTTGAGACTTTAATGTTGGAAAATAACTGAGATATTTTTAAATGCTATAAAGAGCCAACAAGACATGGTCCAATACCCACATTTCAGCAGTTTTCAAACTTGGCCAGAGATAATACAGGTGTGTTTTGTAGACCAGAGACCAAAGCTAGGACTCTGGTTGTACGAAGTCAACATTTCAGCTCAACCTAAGGAACAGTTTCCTAATGATTAGCACAGTGGTCAGCAAACTGTGGCTCGAGAGCCACATGTGGCTCTTTGGTTCCTTGAGTTTTTAGCAAAGGCCAACTTAGGAGTACCCTAATTAAATTAATAACAATGTACCTACCTATACAGTTTAAGTTTAAAAAATTTGTCTCTCAAAAGAAGTTTCAATTTTTGTACTGTTGATATTTGGCTCTGTTGACTGAATTTTCAGACCACTGGATTAGAGCAATATGGAAATGGGACAAAGCCTTTTTAGGAAAAGGTGAGTTCCTTGGCACCAAAGTCCATGTTTGAGTCTGTTATACTTTGAACTATATGATCTTTGAGACCCAGGTTTTGGGTTCCTTCCTGGGTTGGGGCTCTATGAGAGGCAACAGATTGATGTTTCTCTCTCTCCCTTCCTCCCTCCTTTCCTCTCTAAGATCAATAAAAATAAAAAGAACAAGAAAGAGACATTGGAAATGAAAATCTTATATCTGGAATAAAACAAATTTGGTGCCATAGTCAGTTTTGCTCAGTGGATAGTGTTGACCTGCAGGTTAGAACCTGCAACCAAGGTATGTGCCCTAGACCAGAATCAAATCCAGGACCCTTCAGTCTCCGGGCTGATCTATCTACTGAGCCAAACTAGCTAGGCTAGCATTATATTTATTAACATGTTTTTATTGATTTCCGAGAGAGGGAGAGGGAGCCATAAAAACTTAGATCAATCTATTGGCTGCCTCCTGCATGCCCCCTACTGGGGATTAAACCCATAACTGGGGCATGTGTCCTGACAAGGAATCCAATTGGAAATCTCTTGGTGCATGGGATGATGCTTAAACAACTGAGCCACACCAACTGGGCTAGCATTATATGTATATACTAGGGGCCCAGAGAACAAATTTGTGCACCTTGAAAGGAACTGTGGACTGCGAGGCTGAGGTGAGCACAGGGGTGGGTCTCAGCCCATACACTGTACCGCCACCCAGCACTTCCCGCCGAGGCCCTCCTCCCTTCCCCCCTCCTGCCCCTTCCCCCCCCATATCATCTGCCGACAGCCCCACTCCCATGCACTGACAGCACCAGCCTGCTCACACCTTCTGACTGCATTGAATGATTGGGGCCAGCACCAGCAGCAGGTGTGAGTGGAACCATCACAGTCAGTGGGTGTGAACAGCAGCTGCTGCCTTGATCGCCCCTAGGAGCTAGGGGAAGTGGAGAAGCTCTCAGGGGCAATCGTGGTGGCAGACTCTGCAGGCTGGCAGGAGCTGCTTACACCTGCTGCCAACACCGGGCCATAGGGACCAGTGCCGGGCACCAACAGCGGGCGCAAGCGGTGGCTCTGGCACTAGATGTGGTGTGAGCAGGGCCATTGCTGGCAGTGGGTGTGAGCAATGGCTGCTAGCCCCAATTGCCCCTCAGGAGCAGGGGGAGATGAAGAAGTCCTGAGGGACTATCGGAGCCTTTGGCCACCGCTCGCACCCGCTTGACAGTGCTGAGCGATCGGGACCGGTGCTGGGTGCAGGCAGTGGGTTAGAGCCTGAAACAGGGATTTAACTTGCAACCTAAGTATGTGCCTTGACCAGGAATCAAACCTGCAATCTTTTGGTATATGGGATGACACACAAGACAACAGAACTACCTGGCCAGGGCTGGCTTTTACTTTCTTGATGATGTCATTGGAAGCACAAACGTTTTCAATTTTGCTCAAGTCCAATTTATCTCTTTTTTCTCTCTGGTATGTTATGCTCTTAGTGTTATATCTAATCCAAGGTCATGAAAATTTATCCTGTCTTCTCCCAAGTCAGTTTTAGGTCTTATATTTAAGTCTTTGACCCATTTTTTTATTGATTTTAGAGAAAGGAAGAGAAACATTGATAGGTTTCCTACTATATGCACCTCAACTGAGGACTGAACCCATAAGCTGGGTATGTGCTCTGATGGGGCATTGAATCTGCCATCTTTTGGTGTATGAGACAATGCTCCAACCAAGCCACACAGTATCTAAGACCCATTTTAAATTAATTTTTGTATGTGGTATGAAGTAGGGGTTCAACTTCTTTCTTTTGCATGTGACTATATAATAGGCCCAATCCACACGTTTAAAAAAGACTGTTCTTTTCACGTTGAATTATCTTGTCACACAGATTTTCAACTCGTCATTAGTTGAAAACTAATTGACAAAAAAAAAATGTTAAAGGTAATGCCTAGTTTAGGCAATGGTGAGAAAAGTCTTAATCACTGTTCATAGAAGTGCAAAAGTAGTACAGCCGCTAAAGTGAAATTTGCTATGCACATCAAAATCTGAAATACATGTCGAAACTGGTTTGGCTCAGTGGATAGAGCGTCGGCTTGCAGACTGAAGGGTCCCGGGTTCGATTCCGGTCAAGGGCATGTACCTTGGTTGCGGGTACATCCTCAGTAGGGGGTGTGCAAGAAGCAGCTGATCGATGATTCTCTCTCATCGATGTTTCTAACTCTCTATCCCTATCTCTTCCTCTCTGTAAAAAATCAATAAGATATATATATTTTTTAAAAATCTGAAATACATATATATGCTTAGATTGAAATATTATACTTCTAGGAATTTATTTCAAGGAGCTAATTGCACAAAGATGTTATATATAATGGTGAACAACTGGGAGTAACCTAAATGTCAATCAGTAGTAAACCAGGTAAATAAAGTATGCTATATCCATACAGTGAAATATGACACAGACTTTAAAAATGATTAAATAGCCAAAACCGGTTTGGCTCAGTGGTAGAGCATGGGTCTGCGGACTGAAAGGTCCCAGGTTCGATTCCGGTCAAGGGCATGTACATTGGTTGCGGACACATCCCCGGTAGGGGGTGTGCAAGAGGCAGCTGGTCGATGTTTCTCTCTCATTGACGTTTCTAACTCTCTATCCCTCTCCCTTCTTCTCTGTAAAAAAAAAACCAATAAAATCTATATTTTAAAAAATGATTAAATAAATAAGGGTATTTTAAAAAATGATGAGATAGACATATCTATTGATTTGGAGCAGTGGTCGGCAAACTACGGCTCGAGAGCCACATGTGGTTCTTTGGTGCCTTGAGTTTTTAGCAAAGGCCAGCTTAGAAATACCGTAATTAGCCGAAGCCGGTTTGGCTCAATGGTAGAGCGTCGGTCTGTGGACTGAAGGGTCCCGGGTTCGATTCCGGGCAAGGGCATGTATCTTGGTTGTGGGCACATCCCCATTAGGGGGTGTGCAAGAGGCAGCTGGTCGATATTTCTCTCTCATCGATGTTTCTGGCTCTCTATCTCTCTCCCTTCCTCTCTGTGAAAAATCAATAAAATATATATATTAAAAAAAATACCCTAATTAGGTTAATAACAATGTGCCTACCTATATAGTTTAAGTTTAAAAAATTTGGCTCTCAAAAGAAATTTCAATCGTTGTACTGTTGATATTTGACTCTGTGACTAATGAGTTTGCCGACCAATGATATGGAGGAAACCCTATGATTTACTGAGAAGTAAAATATAATAGCATGTTACAAGTGCTTACAGCTCTTTTTGAATTTGTCTAGTATGTCTTCCGGTTTTATATTGGAAGGTCCTCCCTAAAAACAAAAAAGAACGTTACAAAGCTCCATTTATGCATTTATATAATATACTAGGGGCTCAGTGCACAAATTCATGCACCTTGAAAAGAACTGTGGCCCAGGAGGCTACAGTGGGCACAGGAGCGGGTCTTGGCCCATCCTCTGTGCCCCTGCCTGACCCCTCCTATCATGGTCCCCCCTCTGCTGATAGCCCTGTTCCTGTGCTGCTGCTGCACAGGCCCCACTTGCCCCTCAGGAGCAGGGGAGGTGAAGAAGCCTCAGGGGTGATTGGGGCCAGCAGTGGCTGCTCAAACCTGCTGACTGCGCTGGCCCCACTTGCACCTGCTGCTGGAGCACCGAGCTGTAGGCAGGTGCAAGTGGGGTTGGTGCCAGCAGCAGGTTCAAGCACTGGGTGGGACCACAGTGAGCAGGAGCAAAGAATTTTCAGTAATCAGAGGCTCACCCAGATGACAGTGACAGGTGCCTCGCCTTGGTCTGGCACTCCCGCTCACCTGCTCCACCATCCCGCCATGGCCAACGCCTACCATGTTCTGCACTCACCCCCTGGTTAGCACACATCATAGTGTCCGGTTGTTTGGTGGTTCTGCTGTTCTGTCTATTTGCATATTAGGGTTAGGGTTATATGTGTTTGTGTACACACACACACACACACACACACACACATATATATGCATATATATATATACATATATATACACACACACACACATATATTGTGTATATATATATATATATACACACACGTGTGTGTGTGTATTTACATATGCATATACATTCATGGAGAAAATATTCACAAAAATATTAACAGTGGTTGCCAGTAGGTAATGGGATTTAGGCTGGCTGTTATTTTCTTCTTTATACTTTTTTTTGCATTGCATGAATTTGCTACATGAATATGTATTGTCTTTATATACAGAAAAAGAAAAGCTATTTTTGTTTTGTAGGAGCATGTCAAAGAATATATATTGTACAGGACAATTCAAATGGCATGGAAATATGTACATAATATATTATTAAATGAAAAAAAAGCAAGTTATAGTATCTTCTTGCTTTAAAAAAATTTAATGTAATATATACAGTATTTCCTAAGTACTATGATAGTTTACTTTTTTACTATCTACTATTTCTGAAGTAAGGATGTCTCTTATAATCACTATGAATATTTAATGTAGTGGGTTTCCCCCTTGCTGCCTCCCTGAAAAGCTGTTATTAATGAGATGATGCTTCTGGCAATCTGAGACTTGAGAAAGTGCCATATGTGTATAGAGGAAAAAACTGGAGGAATAGACACCAAAACGTGATCAGTGTGTGCTTAGCCCTGAATTGTGATTTTTATTTTCTTCTCTTTGCTAAGCATAGTTTTGAAGTTTTCTATAGTATATACATACATAGTCATAAAAAGAAACCTCGCTGCCCTGCTTTCCTTCCTCTTCATTATTATTTTTTCTTTTCTTTAATGATCTAATTGGCTTTAGTAGATGATTCATGAATTGGACAGCACTTCATTTAGCAACTAGAAACGTGCTCCTGCCCTGCTTTTCAAGAAGTAGAGTGTGTGGGGGAAAATAAGTAGATTGTGAGGGTATTTGGGATGCTTGGCCTTTACCAAAATGAGGCTAGTAAATTAGGGAGCACACAAACTACCTCGGGAGTGTCAGAGTCCAGAGTGAAGGAGGACTACCTTGCATGGCCACCAAGGGGCCTCTGGCCTGGCCAGACCTGGCAAAGCAAGCTTGAGAACAGATGGGAAAGTTCAGTCAGCAGGAGCAGGACTCTTGGATAGTTGTGTGTGGACAAGGAAATCCCTGTGAGGGAGGAGACAGTCCAGATGGTGGGGATAGTGGCTAATTATGGAGGAGATGCATATCCAACACTGTGGGGCCACTCAGATATTTTCCAGTCGAGCTCAGGAGCACATTCCCAGTTCATGATGAGCAACCAAGGGTTGCATGAAACAGAAAATTAGCTCACCCCTTTTGAGAATCAAAACTTATCTCTGTTTGGGTGATGCCTTTCCTCAGTCACAGGGGCGGGGTAACCACAGGAAACGAAGGACACAGAGCAGAGCTGGAGGACTGATGGCCACAGCAGAACTTCTACAGCCTGAGAAGACCAGCAAGCTCTGGCCTCTACTCAGGGTAAGGGAGTGACTAAGGCAGGGGCACAGAGGAGGGTGCCAGGCACTGTGCCAGGTAGAAGCTTCACCCACATGATCATGTGTAATCCTCACAAGTCTCATTAGAATCCTTCTCTAAAAGGGGAAAATAGCCTGGCCACAGTAGCTCAGTGGTTGAGTGTGGACCTATGGACCAGGAGTTCACCGCTGGATTCCGGGTCAGGGCACATGCCTAGGTTTGCAGGCTTAACCCACAGTGTGGGGCGTGCAGGAGGCCGATCAATGATTCTCTCTCGTCAATGATGCTTCTATCTTTCTCCCCCTTTCCCTTCCTCTGTGAAATCAATAAAAATATATTTATAAGAAAATAAAAGAAAAAAACATTTAGCAAAGTGAATAGTCATATTTATCATATTAACTCATTGTTTTTCTTAAAGAGGTGGGGAAAACAAGCCTCAAAAAAAATTCTTTAATCTGACCCTAATGTTGTGTTTTCAAAATTATGTATAATATAGAGGGGGGCGGGGGGAAGCCTCAAGGATATACACCTAAATAGTGGGTGTATCTCAATGGTAGGAATTTAATTTTTAAATTTTCTGTGTGTGCTTTTTTTCCCTCCCCTGAATCCTGGCAATGTGCATGTAAATCTTCTTGAAGCAAAGAAAACAAAAAAGGTTTTTCAGAAGCAGTTGTGAGGACTAGTGGATCAAAGTAATGAGAATGAATTACAGTGAGACCTTAATGACAGAAAAATCCAGATTCTTACTAGCTATGTGAGTTCCACTTGGCTTCTCCAAGTCTGTTTCCTAAACAATAAAAGGGGATTACAGTCTTGTCCCAGTGAGCTGTTGCCAGGATTAACTGAAATGCAATATACATGAAAGTCCCAAGCACAGTACTTGGCGTAAAAGATGGTACTTAATAAATATTAAACCCGACTCTCGATAGTCACAGCTCTTCCTTGCTGCCCCGTGAAGGTCTCCCACCTACAGCTATCTCAGAGGACAGAAAGGAATTTGGTTTCCTTGTCAAAGGCCCTTTACTGGACCTGCAGCTGCCTATACACCTGACACTCTGCCCTCCTGTTTTGTTTTGTTTTTATAACTTTTTTTTTATTTTATTGATTTTTTTACCAAGAGGAAGAGAGAGGGACAGAGTTAGAAACATCGTTGAGAGAGAATCACCGATCAGCTGCCTCTTGCACACCCCCCACTGGGGATGCACCTGCAACCCAGGTACATGCCCTTGCCTGGATTTGAATCCGGGACCCCTCAGTTGGCAGGCTGACACTCTATCCACTGAGCCAAGCCGGTTTCGGCCCTCTGTGGTTTGTTTTTTTTTTTAACCATCTGGAGACTTACAAGTTTTCACTTTTACCCAATTTTCATCTATTTACCTCTCCCTCTCCCTTTGTCTCAACAATCTCAGCTGCCTAGATAGTATTCTTGAGTACATGAGACATTATTTTCAACATAATACATATTTACAGAGCACCTATGTTCTAAAGATGGCCCAGGCCTCCTACTTCCTATTTATATCATCCAGAAATATCCATATGAGCTCACAGTCCAGTTGAAATTTTAGAACCTTCGACAACCCCATGTGTTGCCTAACTGCTATAACAGGTACACACACACACACCATGCTATGGAATGCCAGAGGGCAGATTAAGCAATGGATGCACATGTGTAGAGCAGAGGACGGTTAGTTTTTTTTTTAAAGTAATGATTCCTTCCTATGTTGTACACTAGCTTCCTATACCGTCTTCACAAAAGAGAAAGGTGCCATTTTGCCAAACTGATTCCACAGCCAGATAGATCAATGCCTGAACTGGGCTATTTCCTCTCATCTTCAGAGTTATTAAAATTTGTTCCCAGCAACAAATTTGTGGAAAGTGCGGTCATCTAATGGTTTGACCAATGACCTGATGGTGCTGAGGCGTTGGAGAGGAGAGAGGTCCACGGAGTTACAAATTAGATTGTTCCCCTCAGACAATTATTATTGGAATACACACACATTTTGATTAACAGGCAGTTTTAAGACTCAAAAGGGACCAAAACCAGGTATTCTTTGACATTTGCATTACTTATTGGACAAACATGTCAATGGAAGTAAACAAATATTTCATCTATAGTTCAGACCCTCTAATAAGTTTAAGTTTTCATTTTCCTTATTCCTTCCAGTCCTTATTCAAATCCATAAGTCCATGAACATGATAATAACCATGGATTAGATACAATGACAGTCTATATTCTACTTCTTCCTCGCACCCAGATGCATACTCAGAATGATGTTCAGTACAGCAATATTCAAAACCAGGGCACTGTAACAGCCCCTCCAGGCCTGCGGACTGACAGTCCGGTGGAAGATGTTGGCAGGGTAGTGAGACACACCCTGTTCTGCCTGTGTTATTTATGCCTCTGGCAGAGAAGCCCCTGACAAAGAAGCATGTCACTGGAACACATGCTCTTTGTTCATGGAGGTGCATGCCAGCACCGGCTGTGTCAGAAGGGACAGTGCCGGGTCTGTAGTCTCTCCTCCTTCGGCTTTTTTTTTTTTGCTTTCTCTCTATTTGCTGCACTTTGTGGTTATGTTTATTAATTACTTTGTAACTTAACCTTATAAAACACACATTTATCTTGTGAGGAGAGTCCTTCATACCCCTATGAGTTGGTCATAGAGGATAGGGTCCCAAGATTTGCCCGTTTTTTCCCTAAGGATCAGTACCACCTCTCCCATGAGCCACCAGGTTACCAGTCAGTCTCTCTGGCACAGAGCTACCATATCCCAGTCTCCTTCAGCACCTCCCCCTTACCTGCAAGATGCCACCTGCATGTTCTTTTTGGTATTAAAGGTGCTCTATTGATGTTCCAGACCTCAAGTTCCAAATCAGGCCCCCATGCTCAGACTTTACTCCAATCAGACTGATTATATCGCAGAAAAGATGGCAGGCTTTAGAGTCAGACCCATCTGGGTTTAAACCCTAGCTCCTCCTCTGGTTGGCCATGCAGCTTAAGGTTCGGTTCCTCATCTGTAAAATGATTAAAATAAAATCTACTTCACAGTGGTGTCTTTGAATTAAGTGAGAAAGAACATATCAAGCCCTAACAGTGGATGATCCATCATTGCTTGCGAGCTCATGGAATTGATTTGCTAGTTTTTCATAAAAGCTTTCTCTCACGGCCTTGTGGTTCTCACAACCTTACACTTTAGTCCTCGTGTGACATCCTGAAGAGCACTTATCCTCACCATTTTCCCATCACAGAGATGTCTGCTAAGACTAACATTTTAAGACTCTCGAAACTGCATACCAGAAAGTTTTTGCCTTTTCCAGAGCCTTTTAAAAACATTCTTTTGCTTTGAAATTTTAATTAATTACATGTTTTTAAAAATTGTTATAAGTAGTTTTGTTTGCCACAGGTAGAATGGGAGGGGGAAGTCTTAACTTTAAGGAAACCTTGGGTTGATGCATAGAATTGTTTTTCTCTACTCACAAGTTGTTCCCAATCTTTAGAGCCTTTTGTCTATATTAGAAGTAAGATGGTATCTGATTAGACACATGATGCATTTACTTATTTTAATCTGAATATAGGTAGTGTTACTTTAGGAGGTCCGCAAAGCAAACTTAACGCTCTAACCCTGGCTTTCAGGGAATTCTCTGAACTGGACCATTACAAAGGCTACCTGCCAAGCTTCACCCAAAACCGAGACCGTGAAGAATTCCTCACAGGGGTCACCTAAAGGAATAAAGGGATAAAAGTCTGGGGACAAACGGTAAAGCTCCAAGGCCCCATTAGAAATGCTAATTGCTGCCTTGCTAGCCTACATTTAACTGTTAGAAACCCAGGGAGGTTCTGCTGAACCCGGGGACGCTCAGCTCCTCTGCGGTTTGGTCAAGTGTCCGCAGCTGCACCCGTGTCCCCGCACAGGCCGGCTCCGCCCGGTGCCACGCGATGCACGGCGGGGTGACCGCGACTCCGCTCCCGACTGGGGTCCCCTTAGTCCTTCCGTGACCCCCCGGCCCCGTAGACGGCGGGGCTCGCTGCTGGCTCACATCGTGGGGGAGTCGAGGGTGAACCCGACAAGTCCAATGTTCCCGCGCCCCCTCCACGCGTCCCACTTCCGCGGGCGTCGGGCTGGCCTGGCCGAGCCTTCTCCGCGGCCGGACCTGGCCTTACGGACCCCCGAAGCCGGACGGACTCTAAATCCTCCTCTCCCCACGAGCCCCCCGGGCAAACGTCCCAGTGCGGGGCGGGGACCCGCGTGCGGGCGCAGCGCGGTGGGCCCCGGGAGGCGGGGGTCTCAGTTCGGCGGGGGGCGGGGAAGCCCCCAGAGGAAGGTCTTACATCAGCCACCCCACGTGCAAGCGGAGGGAGGAAGTCGCTCGGGTCCCCCGGGAGGCGCCTTTCCCCGCCCCCTCCCACCTCCGTCTCCCCGCCCCGTCCTGGGTGCAGCGGCGGCAGCCTAGTCCAGCGGCGCCGCGCGGGGCCGAGTGAGCGCAGCAGCCGCCAGCGCCGCGTCGCCGGGTTGGGCGCAGTGCGGCCCGCGGCCGGGGGCGGCGGTAGTGAGGCCCGCGCCGCGCTCCAGCCCCCTTTTCCCTCCATGGTTTCTCTTCGCTCCCGCGAGTAACTTGGCTCCGGGGGCTCCGCTCGCCTGCCCGCGCGCCGCCCGCCGCCCAGCACCGCGCCGCCGGCCTCCGCCGCCAGCAGACCCCTCCCGACGGCCCCAGCTGCGCAGGCCGGGACGCCTCTCCCCCCTCCGCCTCCGCCGCGGAAAGTTAAGTTTGAAGAGGGGGGAAGAGGGGAACATGGACATGAAGAAGAGGATCCACCTGGAGCTGAGGAACCGGACCCCGGCAGCTGTAAGCAGAGCCCCCCTCGCCCCTCCGGGCGCCCTCTCCTCCAATGACTTGCATGTAATGGTGGCCACCTGCGGGGCCCCGGCCGCGGGCGCTCCGGCCTCGGCGTGGGGAAGGGCGGGCGCAGCTCGCGGGCTCGGACGGCGAAGGCGGGCGGGCGGGCGGGCGGCGGGCGCGGAGGGGGAGCCGGCGCGCGGGCATTAACTCTTTGGCGCCCGCGGGCCCCCGCGGCCGTGTGGGGAGGTTCGGCCGGGTGGCGGGGAAGCAAACTTTGAGCTCCTCGCCCGCCGGGGTCCTTCCCGGAGGAGCGCGTGTGCGTGTGGCCGGTGGCGCGGGCGGGCGGGAGGGAGGAGGGGTTGTGTAACGCTGGGAGCCATGTTTGCAGCCTCTCGGGGTGCGCGGCCCGGCGGGACCTGGCCAGCCCAGCCCAGCGGCCGCGCGGCTAGCCCCGGCGGGGCCCAGGCCGGGCTTCGCGCGCCCCGGGCCGGCTGCGGAAGGGGCCGGGGCGCGGGGGCGGACGTGGCCCTCGCAGCCAGGCCTTGCGGTGGCCGCGGGCCAGGGACCAGGGGCAGGGGCCGGGACCGGGGCCGGGAGGCGCGGGAGGCGGGGGGCAGGAAGCCCCTCGGTGCCCGGGCTCCGGCGGGCGCGGCCTGGCGCGCGCGGGGCGGGGGAGGGGCGAGCCGGGGCGGCGGAGGTGGCGCAACCGCCGCCCCTCCCGGGAGGGCCAAGTTTGAAAAAAGGACGCGGTTCCCGCCATTTTTCAAGCCTAAAAATAAAACTTTCCCCACCATGTCTCCCGCTCCCCGTTCGCCTCCGGGGCCTTCCCTGCGCCCGCTCCCTCAGGGCGGGCCCCGCTCGGCCCGGGCCGGCCGTTATGACGGCGGCTTGGCGCTCCCTCTCCGCGGCGGCGGGTTCCGGGGCCGCGGTCGGTCCGGGAGGCTGGCCCCTCGGTGTGGGCGGGCGGGCGGGCGGCGGCTTCCAGCGCCAGCCGGGGCGCGCCACAGGCCGACACAGCGCCATGTTGGCGGGCACCCGTCTCCCTCCGCTGCGGGCTCGGCCCTGCCCGCCCGCCCGCCCGCCCGCCCGCCTATCCTCCGCCGTGGCCCCGGCGGAGCTCGGGCTTTCCTGCCGCCTCGCGGGGCTCGGCTTGCACCGGCGGGAGGCGCGCTCCGCCGTCGGCTTCTCTCCTCTCGGGAACGCTCCGTCCTCGCTCCCGCCCCCCATTCTTAAAAGGGCGATGCCAGGAGCCGGCTCCGCCCGGGCCGGGCTCCGGGGTGCGGGCGGCCTGGGCGGCCTCTGCCCGCGCAATGCCCGAGCGCGGCCGCCTGAGGCCTGCGGGCGCGGGCTGCGGCCGGGGTGGCGGCGGGCGGCCCTGGAAGAGTTGCCCCTCTCCTCCCGCCCCGCGGGTGCAGCGGCCTCCGCGGCTGGGCGCCTCGGCCAGCCCCCGTGTTGGGTGAGCGGCGAGCCCGGCCGGGGTAGCCCTGCGCTCCGTGCAGCCGGAGGCTGCGGGAGTAACAAGTTGCCAACTTGTGGGAATTGAGCCAGGGGTGACCTGTGTGCACGAGGCTGTGAGTCCTGGGGGGCACGAAGGCACCGCGGGGGACGCCCCGCCGCGTGGTCACCCCGAGCGCCCCTGTGGGGTCCGAGGACAGGGGCATGTGGATCGCCCCCCGGCTTTTGAGGTTGAGGCCGGGTCACGCCTGCCCCGTCGGCTCCGCAGTCAGACATTTTGTGTGGGCCACGTGCTGGTGCGCTGAAGGGTTAAGCTGCCTCACGCCGCGGAACTCCAGAGCTGTGTTATCTGGAGTTGTAAATGCCTAGGTAATTTTAATAACCATTGTATATTGCATTGTGTATCATATTGAATTTTTTTTTGTATATGAGGTAACATTACTTTTTTAAAGTGTACATTTATGTGCAAGTCAACAGGCCTTACCCTCTTGCCACAGCCTAGAGTCGTGTGGCTATTTAATTAAAATTAGGTTTGACAGTTGCACGATCCCCATTTCAAGTGTTCATAAGCCACAACTGACTAGTAGCTACTCTGTTGGACAGCACTAGCCTACAGTAATCCAGTGGCTTATTAAATAAATATTTGGGTGCCAACAATATGCCAGGCCCTGGGAAAGCAGTGTGAACTCGGCAGAGTGCTGCAGCCCCTTCCCCCCTGAGGCCTCAGATGCCTGTGGCGCCTGTTGCGCTGGTGCAAGTCGGGGGTTTTGAGAGAGTTATAGGAGCCGGTTAAGATTGTGGGGATAAAGAAGGTTCCCCCAATGGACTCTGATTGGGAGACTGAGATCAGTAGGAGTTAGGTTCTTAGGAGAGGAAAGCATTGACCTTAAATAAGGCTTTACCAGGAAAAAAAGAAAAATGCTGCAGTTTAAAGGGAAATATTTATACGAGCATTATTAAGGCAAATGAGAAGTTCCAAGAAGACTCCATTAAAAACCAAATGGTTCCTTATCTTTGAGTGGGACCTGCTCTTAGGAAGCAGGTTTGGCCTTCAGGATTCTGAAGACTTGTCATTTGGAGAAGGAGGAAGAATTCTTTCTTCATTGAATGTATGAACAGAAAGCTCTTAAATGTCTCTAAGACTGTATTCCATGGTTGACCTTAATATCATCTAGTGAGAGCTAAGTGTTTGAGGAGGGTAAGTGGAAGTTGGATCATAAATCTTAGGGTATATGGCTTTTTTGTTCTTATTTTATTTGTGGGTTTGCAGAAGATCCTGGTAACACTTTACCTTGTGTTCTTGACCAAAGGCTTAGGTCAAGATAAAAGGTTCAGTTCATCTATTAGTATAGCCTTATTCTTTACAAACACAGATACATTAATTTCTCTGAGGGGGAGAGGACTAAACATATATGTGTAATTCAGTGTTTTCTAAGTCCAGAACAGCTCTTTATATTAGAGGTGTGTTCTCATAGTGGAAAAAATGGTTAAGAAAGGATGATAATCATTTAAAACTATAAGCAAGGATAGGAAATGTTTTATGTAAAATATTTGTATTGTACTTAACTGAGAACAAATTGTACAGCCCTAAAACTTACCATATCCAGCACATAAATGGCTGGTACAAACACCTTATTAACTCTGCATCTAGGGACAGGTAGCCTGATAATAGCTCTGCTTGAGTTTTTCCTTCAAAGTTAGAAAGCCAACCAGTTCCTGTGGTTACAGTCAGTGCCCCTGTGGAACGTGCTGAGCTGTTTGCTAGACTGAGATATTTCAGGGGCCGTAAATAAGAATAGTCTTTCCTTAGTCCCAATTTACTGGGAAAAAATTTAGGTTTTCCTCACATTTCTCCCAACTTTTGGTATCTATTGTTTTGTCTCTTTTGATGTAATTTTGAGCTCAATGGGATATTATGATTGGGTGCACAGCAGCTAACTGGGTTTTTCCCTTGTATAAGTAATACATATTCATTAAAGAAAAATTGATATAAATAAGCTAAAAAAGTAGATATTGAGAAGCAAAAATTTAAAAATAGAAATTTCATACATGCCCATTCTACAGTTTAGACATTCTGATGTTTAGCATTTATTTAGTTATGTAAATAAAATGCAGCAAACATCTTTATCTTTCTATGTAATTATTTTATTATAGCCTTACTGTTAATGTCTGCATTGGTTGTAATTTAATCATCCCATGGAATCGTTAGAAGTTTGTTTGTTTCGTTTGTTTTTTGCCATTTAAATGGTATTAAAATGAGCATCTCATAAAGTGAATATCTTCTACCAAATTGCTTTTTATTTATTTATTTATTTTTTTATTTAATCCTCACTCGAGGACATTTTTCCATTGATTTCTAAGGAGAGTGGGAGATGGAAAGACAGAGAGAAACACATCAGTTGGTTGCCTCCTACATGAACCCCAACCAGGGCATAGGCCAGGAAGGAGTTTGCAACTAAGGTACATGCCCTTGACCACAATCAAACCCCAGACCCTTTGGTCTGTAAGCCACCGCTCTCTCCACTGAGCTTAACCAGCGAGGGCCCAAATTTCTTTTGAGAATGGTTCCCTTTACCCATGAGTAGGATATAGATGTTTACTTCATGCCATTACTTCTACCACCCAAACACATTTGAGAACCACTAATATAAATCTTTTCTATTGTTAATTTGAAAACATTCTTTTAAAATAAAATAACAGTGGGGTAGAAGGTTTGAACAGTGGTTAACTTAGAAGAATGGAAATTAGCAAGAGTAGCAGGAGTTACTTTTTCTACCATTTCAGATTATTTCACTTAGTACAATAATTATGAAATATTTTTTCCTAATCCTCACCCGATAATATTTTTTTTCCATTTAATTTTTAGAGTTGAAGGTGGGAGGGGCGAGAAAGAGAAACATCAATAAGAGAGAGACATAAATTAGACATGCATCCCGACCAGGACTGGGAACTGTGGGAATCTAACCCTGGACCCTTTAGTCCATGGGCCAACACTCTTATCCACTGAGCCAAGTCGGCTAGGGCTGTATTTTCTAATTAAAGTAATTGGTAATTTAAAATGATCTTTAATTTCTCCATAATATCCCCCCCTTCCCCCCCCCCCACACACACACCCTCCGCTCTTGTGACAAAGATAACTAACTTGTAATTGGGGAAGTTACCCCAACCAGTTAGGTAAAACTTCTCTCTCTCTCTCTCTCTCTGTCTCTCTGTCTCTCTGTCTCTGTCTCTCTCTGTCTCTCTCTCTTTAGTGCAGCAAGAGGAGTGGAAGACGAGAGCAAATTGGAGAGGGTGGAAGGGAAATTGCTTAATATCTTTAGTGGCTCCCAGTTCCAGTCCCCATAAATAGGCTAAAGTATAGTTCAAATTTTTCAATGAAAACACCAGTGTTTTGCTGATAGCTACAGAAAAACAAACAAAAACCCAACGGTTTAAATAGGAAATAATGGATTTTTTGTTTTAGTTCTCAAGTGTTTATACTTTAAATTCATATTTAATTGGAAAATGAGGTATGAAGAAGCGTGAATTTGACCCCAAAAGTTAAACATCTA